GTATGAGTATGAAGGTCTCCAGAATTGGTTTGCTTCTAGTGGGTTCATGCAAAATAAATATGCATATTCTAAAAATTAAAGCAATACAATTTGTGTTCCAGTCTTAGGCAAGAAGAGTTTCTTCTTTTTCTTGGCAGAAACAGTTGTGGAGTTGAAATTGAGGCACATCACAGCTCACTTCTGTTTAAGTCTCTCACATCAGCTGAACACAAATTAAGGGTAGTTGGTTAGCTGAATCAGCTATTGAAGTAAGTACCATTGGCCTTCAGAAAAAGTACATACAATCGGGAGATAGATTATGGTCCTTTTTTTATTTAGACCTACTTTATGACAAAGAAAAAATTAAATTGACCAAGTTTGCTGGTAGTTTTTACAAAACACTAAAGGAAATACTGTATTGAAGACATGCAGTCTTGATCAGTCTCAAGTTATCTTAAAATTATTATATGGAAGTAGTCAGGTACATTATATTATTGGCATGTTATTAAAAGTCCATCAAATAATGGAAAAACAAAGTTAAAACTGTACAATAAATACACAATTAAAATACTCAGTAATTAATTGTGGCTAAAGGCCATACCAAGTAACTACCAGCGTTAAAATAGCAAGCACTTATTTAAAAAATGGAGTAACCAAAAAGTTGTGCCAATACACCTACAAAAAGTTCAGCTGTAGGAAAATGCAGATAATACCTAGCTCAAAAAAATGGAAGATGTGAGGACAACAGTAATTAAGGTATAGACAGATACAAGATGCAAAAAGACAATAAAAATTAAATATCAACCATATGAACTGTCACTGGAGCTAAAACTTGATGTGACAGCATTAAAGAAGTTTGAGGTGGGCTATCAGATGTAGCATTAGGGGAGATTGACTGAGACATAAGGTGTGATACAGAGCGCTTTGATGGTGAACAAGCTCCTAAAATGAGAGGTTCTGCTGAAGCTAGAGTTTCAGAATCGTCATGAGGAGTCATGGTAGAATAACCATGATCACTGTCACCTCCAGCAGGTCTCTTATACCCAGTGTTTACTCGATATGGTGAAATAGGAGTGATACCATCGATATGTAAAATTTGGTTGCTGTGGCCTGAAAGTTATAATTTCCAATATTAAAGAAAGTATATGAAATAAAATCTGATCATCAAAAATAACATGATAAAAATAATATGCTTACCCTTAATAGCACTATCTAAAATATCTGCATCATCTGGCTCATTATCTAATTGTGACATGCGAACTCCTGTATCAGGCCCTGAGCTGAGGTAGGCATGTGCCAGTCCATGAGCCTGGGTCCCATTGCTATGCTGGCGATAGCAATATAGCATCAGTACAAAAGCTAATCCTAGGAAAAAGCCTAGAGTACCTCCAGCCACAGGTCCCATAGTTGGAGTGCTTGGTAACATTCCAGACCCAGATGGCCGTAAACCTAGTGATTAAGAGAAGAAAATTTATAAAAGTATAATACGATTTAAATTAGATAGATTGATATTGTGCTTTCATCTAGTCCTTACTTGAGGAGCTTTCCCCATATGGTGTTCCTGCATTCCTTACACCATTAAAGCACTTGAGAAATTGAGTGCAAAAGGGGACTTCTAAAGGTGTCTCACCATCACTGCTGAGTTGACACCACTCACAACCAAGGACACCTCGACATTCACTGCAAAAACCATGACAAGTGAGCTGATTAAAATCACTTTATAAGAACATATTGAGGACATGCAATTGAGCCCTAAGATCAAGTAGACAGAGGCGCACCCCTGCACTGAAAGTTTAACTAACCTGTGAGACTGAAAAGATTCACAATTGACATTGACTGAGGAGCAGATTGGCATGTTGCTAACAGAGGTAGAAACATACACAGGAGGACGTTGAGTTTCTGGGAAATTAGAGCAGCTGGGATTGCTAGCCTCAGCTGCCTGCAAGTCACCCGTACAGTAATTAATTCCCAGTGGACACTCACAAGGGCATTCACATTCTGTTTGCTCCACACGGGCACAGTTCAGACAGTTTCTGTCCTCCTATTAGAAAAAAAAAATCAGGTTATTTATAACTATTAAAAAAAAAGAAATAAGAAAATACTTTGACTTTTATGAGTTGGACATACAGTGCTGCAGGGACAAAAAGCAGTAGTGACATCACATGTCTGATTGACCACTCCGAGGAACACATTTGTGCCTGACAGGGCTATGACCTGGTACTGAACGCAGTGCTCTCCATGAACTAAATTTGTCAAGATTCCTGAAACGCTAGTATTAAACTGATAGAAGCGTTGCATAGTGCGGTCAGAGAAGTTATTACATACTCTCTTTGTCACAAAGCCCTTATGGCTGAGAATGTCATGGGCTAACAATGATTCCTTGTGAGTGATGTGCTGTTGTTCTAAAGGTTGCCTTCCACTAGTCTCAGTCAAACTTGGGTGGGCAATTAGGTAACCCTTGTCATCCATCAAAAAACACTTGATGTTCCTTTCTTCACAAAATGGCATAGTGTCAAGCAAAAGTTTGTACAGATAGCCCATAGTAAAATCAACTCCAATAACAGCCACAACTGCGTCATTTGAACTGTGTAGCGCAGCTGGCCGTCCCTCAAATATAGTATGACTGAGAGTGACAATGTAACCCGCACCTCCAACATCTAGATAAGGTGCAGTTAGAACTACCCGTCCTGGGAATTCCATGGCTCGAGTGTACCAATGACGACGAGTTGGATCAAAACTGTCCTCAATTGGAGAACTAGGATAGGAAACAAGTACACCACTAGGAGTTGCAACATAACTGAAAAATGAAGGAAAGGTATAGATGATTTCCAATTACAAGCCAAGATATTACCAAAAGTTATGTATGATTTAAAACATACCGACGAACTGTGTATTTTCTCAGTTTTCCTCTCAGCTGTTGCTGTTTCCAGTGCTGAACAACACCTGACACAGCACCTACATCATCCCTGACACCAGGTTTCAAACCAGGATTGGCTAGCACTCGTGACTGATCATGGAGGTAGGCCATGTAACTTTCAATCATTTGGGATGACTGAGAGTTAGTCCCTTCTAAATAGTTATATGGTGATTGAAAACAAGAGGCCGAGAGAAAAACAGAACCTACATCTGAAAAGCAAAATAGGTAGAACATTTAATAATTTGTAAAAATAAAAAAGTTTTAGTGCAGTAGTACTGATACAGTTTGAAAAACAAACCAAAAGAAGATGGGAGCCTTAAGTGTCTACACATTGAGTATTTGTCCATATGTTGAAACTTGTGGTACACAATGTTCATATCATGGTGTAAGGGTACAGACTGCAGGTGTGATGGTTGCTGACCAGTCTCTTGATGCACAGATACCAAAACAGCAATGTATGGACCAGATTTCAGATGTCTCCAAGTATAAGAATACTTAAAAGAAGATAAGAACATGAATAAATATTTTGAGTCAGAAAATAATGACTATCATAGGTTTCTATGAACTTTACTCACAGAGATAGAAACAAGATGTCCTTGAGAAGAAATTTCTGTTTTTATAATTTTATTGCCATTAGTTTCATTAAGGATTTTTTCCCGCACTGAATCAAAGCCAGGTTTATTTTCAAGGTATTTGATATCTGTAGCCATTGGCTGCTCATAGGAAAACGTTGGTCTGGATAGTGATGGATGCATTAAAGTGTATCCTATAAGAAATATTTTCTGTGAATAACAATAGCAAATTTACAAGTAACAAGAAACATCAAATTCAAATTCAGTACATACCCTCTTTGTTGATGAAAAAAGAATATGATTTTGCATATGTGTTGAAGTAAGTAATATTTTCAACAACCTCACTAAGAGATAAATCTATTCCAACAACACCAACAATACGTCCAGAAACCTCACATGGTTGAGCAATACTTAGTACCATTGCTGTAAGTTAATGAATCCTTAGTAGCAAAATCAAATTCATTATTGGATTCTTCATTTAAATGAACTGAAACTTACCTTTGCTAACTGAATCAAAATCTGGAAGGAAAAATAAGGGGGCAGTCTTGTGCCCTGAAACTGGTAAACCAGAGAGAAGTTGTCCGACCATTGGACCAAGATTTGAAGTGGTATTAGCAGACACTAGAATACCGGGAGAAATTCTCGTATCCCTTAAAATTGAAATATTATACTTGCTGAAATTTTGGCTAGCAACGTCCTGCAGAAAATGCTTCTCCAACATCAAAGGTTTTCCATCTGAAATTAAGGTATAATTTTCAATTTGCAGAATTAAAAGAATTAATGACCTAATTTTTTAATAAAAGCCTAACTCACCATCAATAAGCGCACAGGTGTTAATAATGACATCATGAGGTGTGGCCTCCCTTCCTTCTGCTATAGTTTGAAGGACAGTCTTTAATTCAGTCAAAGAGGACAGGAGTCCTCGGCTGAGGTACACAACCAGGATTGGAGCAGTGGCATTAGAGGGTACAGAGTTGGCAATAATTTCAAATACATTTTTGAATCCAAGAGAATGATTTGTTGGTCCCTTGGATCTTGTCAAACCATCAATATAGCGAAGCAAGTGATACTTTGTTTCATGAGTGGCCAGAGGAAGTGAGTGCTGAGTACATCCATCATTCATTGGAAGAAGAGCATCTTCCGCCAACCCAATTAATCCCACATGGTCATGATGAGAAAGAGTCTCTATGACACTGCGAGCAAGGACCTTGGCTAGCTCTAACTGGGTGACACTGACTGACCGCCCATAATCAATCATGATGATAACTCTTTTAGTATCTGGAGAAGTGGTAGCCAAGAAAATACTCCTACATTTAAATAAAACAGAACAATTAAAATCAGGATTTACAGCCAGACAAAGTCATAGAAAAAAACTCTTTGACTCATACCTTAAGCGAGTTTCATCAAATGTATTACAAGGCATATCTTGGAGAAGGTGATCACTGCTGCTAGAGAATCCAGTACCAGCCATGAGATATTGTAATTTTAATGATGGAGCCAGTCTTGAGTTTTGAACAAAAACTGAGAATTGAAAAAGAGGTTTTATTCAATAATTTATGAGAAATTTTCATTTTTAAATCACCAAGCTAAGTCAAAAAAAATATTTACCACTAGTCAGGTTGAATCCATGTCGGGGGCCAGGATGACCAAGCCTCCTGATTGGTCTGGTATATCGAACATCATAGTATTCATCTCTTATTGAGTTCCTGAAACATGGGTGTGCTGCAGAGGGCAACTGTGTAGGGCCCATTACTCGCTCATGAATGGCATTTTCAACCGCACTGCGAGTCTTTGACAACAGGTTCAAGTTCTCTTGCAATTTTCGATCAATACTTGATGCAATATTTTCGACTCTCTTTTCATCAGTACTCTTAGTAGGTTCAAACTCAAGGTTGTCATATATTTCTTGCAACACAAGAACTCCTAATTCTTTATTGCACACATCTCTTAAGCAAGATGCAATGTTAGGAGCTACATCTTGCAACAACAATCCATCAATAGAACTCGGAGAGACTTCTTCTTTTATTTTGTCCAGGCTTAAATCTACATTCACATCTGGTACCACTTGTAAATTCCCTTCAAATTTGGTGCTTGGATAAGAGAACAGGTTTGTGCCGTTGCTCAGTACAAGACTGTAGGAGCCTGAAGAAGCTTCCACAAGGCAAAACACAACAGCACATGATATAAGGTGTTGCCACCGCCAGCGCCGGTCCATTTTTCAGGTCAGAAAGAGTTATGGGGCTCAAAAGAGAATATTACATTATGAAATCTGGAGTGTCTAGTGACACTGGAGGTTAGAGAGATGCCTGCTATACTTTCCAGCCTCATCATTTTAAGCAACTGTGGTGCTTTTATCCACTATACCCACACTAAAGCGCCGCACCCGTGATAGGCACATGCCGGAACGGATATCAGGCGAAGAAAAAACGAATCTGGTCAGATTGCTACGATGAATCAAATTGTAAACAAATAGCAGCATCCAGGCCTTTGGAGTCGAGGTCCAAGTCCACATTCAAATACTGCGCCGATGCGAGCATTCCGATTCAGAATTAACGTTCAGAAGAAGCCATCAGAGCGAGGCTAGGCTGAAGTGGTATGAGAAATTTACAAGTCATATTTTAGTCACGTGATAATGACGTCATTTCCTCCAGCGGAGCTTGTAGATGT